CACATCTCTTTTCATATGCGGCCAGAAGAAATTATCCTGGACCACACTAAGAGTCTTGGCCACTCCAAAGTGTCCCATCAAACCGCCGCCATGAGCTTCCCTAACAAGCAGATCACAAAGGGAGACATTAGGTATACAAAGGCGGTTTTCATAAAACAAGAAGTCATCACTCCGAAAATATTTTCCAGTGGCAAATTTAGAACATGATTGATAAACTTCCTGGAAATCTGGATCGGAGGTGTAGGCTTCTTTGATCATTTCAAAACCGAGGACCTTGGCGTCTAAGGTCGAGATCAGGGTGTATCTGCGGGACAAGGCATCGGCTACAACGTTTTCCTTTCCCTGTTTGTACTGGATCACGTACGGAAACGTTTCTATAAACTCCACCCATCTGGCATGCCGCTTATTAAATTTCTGCTGGCCCTTGAGGTGTTTAAGAGATTGATGATCCGTATGAATCACAAAATCCTTTGGCCAGAGGTAGTGTTGCCAGGTTTGGAGCGCACGGACCAAGGCATAAAGCTCCTTGTCGTAGGTGGGATAGTTCAGGGTCGCGCCACCAAGCTTCTCACTGAAGTAGGCAATAAGCCTTTTCTCCTGCATTAGGACCGCACCAATACCTACACCAGAGGCATCGCACTCAATTTCAAAGGTTTTTATAAAATCAGGCAAAGAAAGAAGAGGTGCATGAGTTAGCCTGTTTTTAAGGAGTTGGAACGCCTCTTCTTGTGCCGTGCCCCATTCAAAACCAACGTCCTTTTTGATTACTTCGGTGAGAGGCGCTGCTATGGTACTGAAGTCCTTTACATACCGTCAGTAGAAACCGGCCAGGCCGTGAAAGCTTCGGACCTCTCCAACCGTCTTGGGACTGGGCCAGTCTTTGATCGCCTTGATCTTCTCTTCGTCGACCTGGATCCCATTGGCACCTACAACAAAGCGTAGGAACACAACACTATCCACGCAAAAAGTACACTTTTTCAAGTTCCCAAACAATTTCTTCTTCCTAAGCACTTCTAAGACTAACCGCAAATGCTCTAAGAGCTCGGCCAAGTTCTTGCTATAGACTAAAATATCATCAAAGTACACAACGACAAAAATGCCTATGAACGACCGCAAGACATGGTTCATAAGTCTCATGAAAGTGCTAGGGGCGTTGGTTAAGCCAAACGGCATTACCAACCATTCATAAAGCCCATGCTTTGTCTTAAAGGCTGTTTTCCATTCGTCCCCCTCTTTTATCCTTATTTGGTGATAGCCACTTTTCAAATCTATCTTAGAAAAAGACAAGATCCGTGAAGTTTGATATATTCATAAATTGCATCATTTAATGTACATATTCTAGTCAAAATCATGTCTCATTTGCATGCATTTTAGGTCTTTAGGCATTGTTTTAGGACTTATGAGATTACATTAGGTCCAAGAGAGTTTTGCATGTTTTGGAGTGTTAAACAGGTGCTTTTGGAGCCAATTTGGAGTGGAGGATGTGATTCAGATGAAGAAATGGAGTTGGAATGATCAAAAATGGTGAAAAGGAGCAATTTTGGGTTTCTCGGCAAAATGCTGTACTGAAGGTCGAAGATCCTCGGCCAAAATCCTTCCCGCGGGTAGCTTTCTCGGCCAAAAACACGTGCCGCGGTTAAGTTTCTCGGCCAAAAATCTCGAGTGCAGATACATCTCGGAAATCACGTTACCGAAAGGTTTTGCCTGCCGATTCAGCTGTCGGAGTCGTCATAAAAGTTGGAGATAATTGAGTCAAGAGTTCAGAACAGTTGGAATCAAAGCGTTTGGACCACGGAGCTGAAAGATATTATAATCGGAAGACAGACCTCTCTCGCATCCATTACGGAGCAATCCGATACTCCTGAATGATCGCCTGTCCGGGGAACCTTCCGGTCCGATTCAGTTGTCGAAGGCTTCATAAAATATGTAGAAAATTGGATCATGGTTCTATAGAAACTGGAATAATGGAATTCGGATGCGTGAGCAGAAAGTTGAGCTCGTCGGACGAAACCCCTGTCTCGCTGCCGTCTTGGACCGACCTGATGAGCTCCGAAGAATGCGAAGGACGGCGCACTTCCAGGCCGATTCGATTTACGAGGCCTTCATGAGAAGCAGAGATATTTGAGTCCTCGTTCCAGAACGTCCAAGATCATTCAATTCGGATCTATGAGCAAGAAGTTAACGTTTCCGGAATGGACACATGTCTAGAGGCCTCTCTCTGATCGTGTAAATGCACTGCGAAGATGAGCCCTCCAGGAAGCCTTCCACTTCCCAAGTGCCGATAGTTTCTTCACAAAAGATTGAGCTGAATGAGTTATCTTTCTCATGGAACTGGTTTTAGGACATTTGGAGTTATGAGCTGAAAGTTACACTGAACAGAAGAGAAGCTGGTCAATTCGGGTTTTAAGAGATGCGACTGTAAGCTAAGTGTTGTGTCCTACCTCGGCGTGAATACCTCGGCATGTATGCCGAGGAGACATGTTTACGAAGCCTTGGGACTATACCTCGAGGTAGGACTTCGGTCTTTCAACACCAAGGCTCCCTTGATCACCAAAATGATCCCAAAACGACTAAGTGTTGAAGCAGACCTTGGTGTGAACCCTTCAGCATGCTATGCCGAGCTCCTATGTTACACAAACCTCGGGTACCAGGCCCCTCGGCATGTATGCCGAGGTCCTCATCTCTCCAACCCAGATCACAAACAAATCCTCTTCACGTTTCAAAGCTTTAACCGGATCAAAGGCCAAGTCTCATGCATGTTCTTCAAGTGTTCATCAAAGTTTCAACCCAGCACATGACCCCCTGGTGTATGGCCCTCGGTGTGAGACTTCTTCAGATGGCGAGGGGTGGCTCCAGCAACCCAGAAAGGGCGGGTCAGTACCCAGTTTGTCCTGGGCTGACCCGGCCCACACCCTTTTATATAAATAGTTTTTAGAGACTAAAACCCTAGTTATCCATTATCTTATCCTTTATCTTAGTTTCTCTTTGGTTTCTCTTTCCTTATCTGTGTAAAACCGACGTGATTAAGAGATATCTAAGAGATTTCATTATCTTAAAGCTGTTTCTTATCATCTCATCATCTGATCTCAACTTCTAATCATGATTAACATCACCTCTTGCAAAGGAAATGGTGTGTTAATCATGATTAGTGAGTAGTTATCTTTTAAGCTTCTAGGTGTGTAGATTAGGGTGCTTAGATGATCGGTTTATGATGTTTAGGTTCTAGATCTTCATTTCCTTTCCTTAGTTAGCTGCTCTTAATGCTAGATCTTTGCACATCACTCTGATCTAGACTTTAGTCATTTCTCCACCCACAAGGTGTTTGATGAAATGTCTGAATGAGCTAAGCTAAGGGTTTATGCCTTTTTCATCATGGGAATGATTTGTTAAATGCATGAATGACATATTAGAACTGTTTCTTAATTCTCACTGATTCATATTTCACAAATGATGATTTGGTTTGAAAGTGGATTAGTGTAGAGATTAGTGCCTTCATGAGAGGATTAGTCTAGATTTGAGTTCTAAGTTAATTGGTTTTGAGATCATATGATTGCTTGTTGCTGCTTTCTGTGTAAGATTCGGTCTCTTTGAAATAGAAACCGTTTGGTCATTATTAGACTTGATACTTTATGCTTGTTGATTGCTTGATCTTGCTTAAGGTGAATTAATCTTGATTAAGTGATTTACAAAGAGATTATTGTCATGGGAATGAATTAATCTGCTTTTGAAGTCTAGACTAAAGAGTAACTTGCATTGCATTATTGTTCTTAGCATCATGAATAAATCTCTAAAGCACCCTAATCAATGATCACATCTAGAGGTTTAGCTCTCTCTTTATTTTGAATTTGAGTCTTGATTTGTTGTCTTGTTGCTTGTTCTTGAATTACTGTTTGATTTTGTTTGTTTTATGTTTTAGATCACCTTGTTACCAACTCATTTGCTTGTTAGACTTGAATTAAGATAGCTCCTCATAGTTCTAGTGTCTAGAATCTCTCCATTTCGATTGATACCTCAAGTGCTACAATGACATGAGTAGTTGAGGAATTGATCAAGGAGTGATAAATTCCTGCTATCAAAGTTCATCAAGCATATCATCCAAACGAGGAATGAGAAGTCTGTATTTTACCGTGATATTGTTGATTGCACGACAATCAACGCACATACGCCAAGTGCCGTCCTTCTTTGGCACAAGTAAGACCGGGACCGCGCAAGGACTCATACTCTCTCGTATATGTCCTTTCTCCATCAGCTCTCCGACCTGCCGCTGTAGTTCCATTGTTTCAACAGGGTTGGTTCGATACGCGGGTCGGTTTGGCAAGGACGCACCAGGAACAAAATCGATCTGATGTTCTATTCCGCGGATGGGAGGTAAACCACTTGGGCTTTCTTCTGGAAAGACGTCCTTGTATTCCTGCAAAAGAGGCAAAATGCTGCTCGAAAGATCCGGCTCAGGGTCAGTAAGGCTAGCCAAAGCATTTTTAAACATTAATAAGACAAAGGATTGTCTCGTAAGCACGGCATGCTTAAGTTCACTTGGCCTCACGAAAAGAGTTTCTTTTCTCACGGGTAAACTATCTAAGGTCGTTTCTGGGGTTTTTCTCAGACTCTCAGATTTAGTGGAAGTGTTTAGGTGGTCACTCACAACGCTTTTTCCTTTGTGGCTTTGCTCGAGTTTGATCTGGTCTAGGTAGACCTCTTGCGGAGACAAAGGTGCTAGGGTGATCTTGCGGCCTTGGTGTTCGAACATGTGTTTGTTGGAAAAGCCATCGTGAATGGCCTTGCGGTCATACTTCCAAGGTCGGCCCAAAAGGATATGACCAGCTTCCATCGGCAACACATCGCACATGATCTCATCCTCGAACCGTCCGATAGATAATGGAACCGAGACTTACTTGGTGACCTTTAGCTGCCTTTTTTTGTTTAGCCACCTGAGACTATAAGGCTGTGGATGCTTGTGCGTCTCCAGGCCAAGTTTCTCCACCATTGTAGTTGATACGAGCATGGACGAGGTGCGAGCTGAGGGTCAGGCCGGAGGACTAGGCGAGACTGGAAATCTCGACCAAATGGCCGAGCTAAGTGAGATGGAGGTTCAAGAAGGGAAGCTGGCCGAGGTGAACGACCCAATTCCGGATTTGACCGAGCTCACTGGTCCAATTACACGGTCCCGAGCTAAGAAGCTGTCCATGGTCATTTGGAGGTTATACACCGAGCTGATGGCCAAGTTCACGGATGCCACACTAAGCGACCGAGCTGTAACACTCTTAGCATATTCGGACGGTGTGGCCCCTTGATACTCTTTTTTCCTTGCATCCGGGTTTGTCCCATTGGGTTTACCGGATGGGGTTTTAATGAGGTTAAGGCCCACATCTTTTCCTTATCCAAATTGGTTAATAGTCGTTACAAGGAGTTGAAAGATCATTCGCGCAAAAGAAGTCAAACGGACATCCGAGGAAGCCGAGTGGTCCTTTATCGTATTCAATGTATCTATTTATTATTTCTGTCTTTTGCACTTCTTATGAGACTCTATATAAAGAGCCATAATCCCTTGTATTTTTCTCATTCACTTCTTTCAATAAAATTTCGAGATTTTCTCTTGTTCTCTTTGAGTTTCCTTTCTTAGGTGGTTAGCCTTGAAAGTTTATTTTGGTTTATCGGATTCAGTCCATAGGATTCGACGCAGCCTTCCTTACATCTTGTTTTCGATTTCGTTCAAGTAGTTTAGGGGCAACAGGATTTTCGAGATCAAGTCTCACGCCTGTTCATCCTTGACCCGCGAGATCAACACTTGGTGTTGTCATTCCTTGATCAGTTTCTGTTTCTCGCGAGTTGGGCCTAAGGATTTTCGAGGCAACCCCTCACCCCTTAGCATCTCTCCGATCAAACCGATCTGGCCGAGTTTATCAACCAAGTGCAATTTCCTTGGGAGGATCGTATCAAGTGGTATCAGAGCCCACTTGCTTACTCGGTAGTGTCAATCTATCTCTTAAACTTCCGCCTTTTCTCATCCCATTTCTTCTTATATTTCCGTTATAAAAAAAAAAGAAATCAAAAAGTCCAAAAAAAAAAAAAAGGAATTTCAAAAGTCCAAAAAAAAAAAAAAAGGAATTTCAAAAGTTAAAAAAAAAAAAGAAAGAAATCATATTCTTTTCTATCTATCTACCCTTATTCTTCTCCTTCAAACATTTGATAAACCAAGGGAACCTAAAGGCAATCGTCGTGAATCGATTAACTCCTTTAGAACCGGAAGAAAATCTTGTGTGGGTTTGTGAGATTAATAAGAGAGTGAGTGAATCAAAGAGAGAAACACTAGAAAGGATTTTTACTAACGTGTTTGTTCTTTTTGCGAGGTACGTGCATGTCATCTGACTACTCGTTGGACGATTGCGAGTTCTACACGTTCAAAGAAGGAAACCACGTTCGCTGGTATACTCCCAGAGAAATGGAGGCCAAACTTAACCAGATTACCGAAATGATGGAGCGTATGAGCCAAAAGATGGATCGGCTTGAAGTCTAGCCAAGACAAGAAGAGGCCAACGATCAAAACCGCGAGGAGCCAATACATATCCGCCGAGACCGGAACTTCGAGCAGGAGATCGACAACCCATTCTACGCGGATAACCACTCATCTGGTAGCAGCCGAGTTAGGCCGCGAGGTAACCGTGGTGCACACCGAGGCCGAGCTGGAGTAGACCGCGACCGAGGCAATAATTTTCCAGGCCGAGACTTCCGATGTGAAGGAGGACGACCTCAGCGACCCATCCATGAACGAAGAGAAGCCGAGCAGGCTCGAGGACGTAACGATAATGACCTAGGAGGAATGAAGCTGCGGATTCCACCCTTCTACGGAAAGAATGACCCAGATGCTTTCCTAGAATGGGAAAAGAAGGTGGACATCGTGTTCAACTGCCAGGATCTGTCGGAGAGGAAGAAGATCAACTTGGCGGCCTCCGAGTTCAATGGCTATGCCATAGACTGGTGGGACCAGATCATGATCAGCCGACATAGGAACGGTGAACGGCCCGTGGAAACTTGGGACGAGATGGCCACTCTTATGCGGCAACGGTTTGTACCATCCCACTACCACCAAGAGTTACATACCAAGCTTGGGAGGCTTACGCAAGGAACTAAGTCCGTGGAGGTCTATCATCAGGAGATGGAGCGTTTAATGCTCAAGGCCGACGTATTCGAACCAGAGGACACGACCATGGCCAGATTTCTAAGTGGCCTGAATCGTGACTTGCAGGACCGAATGGAGCTACAGGAGTATAACGATATGGCCGAGATGTTACACAAGGCGATTTTAGTGGAGCAACAACTCAAACGGAAGGGAACTAATCGATTTACCCCTGGAGCCAGTTCACGAGCAAGCTACCGAGACGACAAGGCAACCTATCCCTCACGATCTAACACTCAACCGAGGACGGACTCAAAACCGAACCAGAACACAGGCAAGACCGAGGCCAGCTCATCCAGGACGCGAGACATCGAGTGCTTCAAGTGTCGGGGAAAGGGACACTATGCCAATAAATGTCCGAATCAGAGGGCTATGCTCATGCTCGACACCGGAGAGATCATATCCGATCACGAGGAGGAAACTGAGCCGGTCTACGATGAAGAAGAGACCGAGGAGCGAGCTGTGTCCGGAAAGTTACTTGTAGCTCGGCGTGTTCTCATAGCACAAGAACGGACCAAGGAGGAAGACCAGAGGGAAAATTTGTTCCACACCCGGTGCCTGGTCCAAGGAAAGGTGTGTAGCCTGATTATTGATGGAGGGAGCTGCACCAACGTGGCTAGCACTAGTATGGTTGACAAGCTGGGTTTGGAGACCCGTAAACACCCTCATCCTTATAACCTGCGGTGGCTTAACAACCAGAGGCAACTCAAGGTCACTAAACAGGTCACTGTTCCAATTACCATTGGACGATATGAGGACGAGGTCATTTGTGACGTTCTACCCATGGAGGCCGGTCATCTACTCCTAGGACGACCGTGGCAGTTCGACAAGAAGGCGATCCATGATGGGTTCTCAAACAAGCATTCCTTTGAGCACCAAGGTCGCAAGATCGTCTTAGCACCCTTGTCACCACATGAAGTCTATCTCGATCAAGTTAAGCTGGAGCAGAACTCTAAGGGTAAAGGTATTATGAGCGAATCCCAAAACACTTCACTTCAAAAGAGAGAGTCTGAGAAAAACCTAGAAATGGCCTATGAGGGAAATCCCGTGAGCAAAGAGTCTTTTCTTGTGAGGCCTAGCGAGGTGAAATATGCCTTAGCTACAAAGCAACCCTTTGTCCTTCTCATTTTTAAAGAAGCTTTGGCTAGCCATACTAACCCTGAGCCGGTTTTACCGAGCAGAATCTCTCATGTTTTGCAGGACTTTGCTGATGTCTTTCCGGAAGACGACCCAGGTGGCTTACCACCCCTTCGAGGAATTGAGCACCAGATCGACTTCGTGCCCGGAGCCACCCTTCCTAACCGACCTGCCTACCGTACTAATCCCGTGGAAACCAAGGAGCTTCAAAAACAGGTGGATGAACTTCTGGCCAAGGGTTACATTCGCGAGAGCATGAGTCCATGTGCCGTACCGGTCTTACTCGTGCCCAAAAAGGATGGAACTTGGAGGATGTGTGTTGACTGCCGAGCCATCAACAACATAACGGTTAAGTATCGCCATCCTATACCTAGGCATAACGATATGTTAGATGAGCTTCATGGTGCATGCATTTTTTCTAAAATTGATTTAAAAAGTGGCTATCACCAGATTAGGATGAAAGAAGGAGATGAATGGAAAACGGCTTTTAAAATTAAGCATGGTCTTTACGAGTGGCTTGTTATGCCTTTTGGACTCACTAATGCACCTAGCACATTCATGCGTTTGATGAATCATGTTCTTAGGTCGTTCATAGGTGTTTTCGTGGTAGTTTACTTTGATGAACATGTGCTGCATTTGAAAAAGGTGTTAGATGTGCTTAGACATGAACGACTCTTTGGAAACCTTAAGAAATGTACTTTTTGTGCGGATCACGTTGTCTTTTTAGGTTTTGTTGTGAGTTCGCAGGGAATCCAGGTCGATGAAGAAAAGATCAAAGCAATCCAGGATTGGCCGAGCCCAAAGACTGTTGGTGAAGTCCGGAGCTTCCATGGCCTAGCTGGCTTCTATCGCCGTTTTGTCCAAAACTTCAGCACGATAGCCGCACCTTTGACCGAGATCATTAAAAAGGAGGTCGGGTTTAAGTGGGAGCAACAGCAGGAGGAAGCCTTTCAGCTCTTGAAACATAAGCTAACCCATGCGCCCTTACTGGTGTTACCTGACTTTCTCAAGACCTTTGAGATCGAGTGCGACGCCTCAGGAGTTGGAGTTGGAGCCGTGCTGATGCAAGAGAAGAAACCCGTGGCTTTCTTCAATGAGAAGCTAGGAGGAGCAACCTTGAACTACCCAACCTACGATAAAGAACTGTACGCGTTGGTCCGAGCCCTACAAACCTGGCAGCACTACTTGTGGCCAAAGGAGTTCGTCATTCATACGGACCACCAGTCGCTCAAACACTTAAAGGGCCAACAGAAGCTTAACAAGAGGCATGCCAGATGGATGGAATTCATTGAGACCTTTCCATACGTCATTCAGTACAAGCAGGGTAAAGAGAACGTGGTGGCCGATGCTTTGTCTCGACGACATGCCTTGATTTCCACTTTGGATGCAAAGGTGCTGGGGTTTGAACTAATGAAGGATGCCTACCTCACTGATCCAGACTTCCAGGATGTCTACCGATCCAGTTCCAAATTTGCCCATGGCAAATACTACCAAAGTGATGGATATCTTTTCTATGAAAATCGGTTATGCATACCTAACACTTCTCTTCGTGATTTACTTGTTAGGGAAGCACATGGAGGAGGACTGATGGGGCACTTCGGAGTAGCTAAGACTCTAAGTGTGGTGCAAGACCACTTCTTTTGGCCGCACCTAAGACGCGATGTGGAGCGAATTTGTAGCCGTTGTACGATCTGCAAGATGGCCAAAACCCGAAGCCAAGGCCCAGGTATGTACACTCCCCTTCGGATCCCTAGTGAAGCCTTGGACCGACATATCCATGGACTTTGTGTTAGGATTGCCACGCACTAGAAGAGGTAGAGATTCGGTCTTTGTGGTTGTAGATAGATTTTCTAAGATGGCTCATTTCATTCCATGCCATAAGACCGATGATTGATATGTTCATAATTTGCATCATTTAGGTTGCATAAATCATCCCAAATCATGTTTTATTTCATGCATTTTAGGTCCTTAGGGTTTATTTTAGAACTTAGGAGATGCATTAGGTCCCAATGAGTCTTTGCATATTTTGAGTGTCTGTCAGGTGAATATGGAACTGAAAAGATGAATCCAGGAGGTGGAATGGTGAGCAAAGCTTGAAAAAGTGGAAAAATCAGGTCTTGGGAGATTATCGGCCATTCTCGCTGGCCAGGAAGGTTTTACCGGCCATTTTCATGTACCGCGGGAAGCTTTACCGGCCATTTTCACGTACCGCGAATGAAGTGTATCGGCCAAAATCTCCGGGTGTGAACGAGTCTCAGAAATCGCCCGTCCGGGGAGCCTTCCGGTCCGATTCAGACGGCGGGTCCTTCATAGAAGTTGGAGAGAATTGGAGGACGGTCTCATAGCAATTGGAATCGTGTAATTCGGACGCGTGAGCAGAGAGATAAGCTCGTCGGAAGAAACCCCTGTCTCGCAGGTATTCCGGACCGAGCAGATCAGTTCTGAAGGATGCGAAGGACGGCGCACTTCCAGACCGATTCAGTTTCCGCGGCCTTCATGAGAATCAGAGACATTTGAGTCTTCTTTCCAGAACAACCGAGATCAGTCAATTCGGAGCTTTGAGCAGAAAGATACGGTCTCCGGAATGGACACATGTCTAGACGCTTCTCTCTGGTCGTGTAAATGCACTTCAAAGATGTTCCCTCCAGGAAACCTTACACTTCCCAAGCACTGAAACTTCCTTCATCAAAGTTGGAGATAAATGAGTCCTCTGTCTTCTGAAACCGGAATCACTCAATTCGGACAGGTCTCCAGGAAGTTACACTCTCCGGAATGCGAGATGGTCCAGACAGCCCAGGATGACTAAGTTAAACATGCCACGGTATGGAGCTTGGCCGTGGCAACATCTTGCAACCTTCGGCGATTGGCACGAGCTGAATGCCACGGTCTAGGACTTGACCGTGGCAAATGAACAAGAGGCTGGAGATAACTTCTACACAGTTTCGGCTTTTGACACGATCTCAATGCCACAGCCTGAGACTTGGCCGTGGCAAGCATATACTTGGCTGGGAAGGTACTCACATGCATGCGAGTTTTGGCACGGTGTGAATGCCACGGTCTGGAGGCTTGACCGTGGCAACCTCTACACATCTTCGGCGTTTGACACGGCTCACTTGCCACGAGTCCCAGATGAAGCTTGATCAGACCGCGGCAACAAAAGGGACCAAGAACACAAGTAAAAACTTTGACACGGTCAGGAATGCCACGGTCACACCAAGGATGCACCAGACCGTGGCAAACCCTTCTTTGCCCATCAAGGCCGGGTCAGTACCCGGTTTGTTCCGGGTTGACCCGGTTCGCCCAAGCTTCTTTTATAAGGTTTTTAGACCTAATTTGTGGAGGGACTTAATCTACTTTTAGTCTTTTTTTCCCCTTTTGTGAAAAACCACTTAATACACTTTGTTTTAGAGAGTTTAAATCGATTTGCAGTTTCTTTCCATCTTGTTCATCATTTCTATTCATCAAAATCAACTTCTAATCATGATTAACAACACATCTTGCAAAGGATCTAGTGTGTTGATCATGATTAGTGAGTAGTTACCTTAATGAGGTTCTAGATGTGTAGGTTAGGGTGCTAAAGTGTTAGATTAGGAGTGCTTAGGGCTAGATTCATTGGTTCATTTCTCTAAACAACTATTCTCTATGCTAGATCCTTGATAATCACTTGAAATCTAGATTCTGGGAATTTCATGCACCAAAAGTGTTTGATGAAATTCCTGAAAGAGTTGTGTTAGAGGTTTAAGTAATTTTTCATCATGGGAATGATTTGTTAAATGCTTGAATGATCATTGAGAACTGTTTATTAATGCATATTGATTCATATTTCACAAATGGGAATTTGGTTTGAAAATGAATTAGTATAGGGGTTAATACCTTCATGAGAGGATTAACATAGATTAGAGTTCTTAATCACTTGAATCATGTCTCATCATTGTCATTTGCATTCCTAGTTTAACACCAAAGCACCCTAACCATCTATCATGTCTAGAATCTCATGCCTCCATCATATCTTATTCACACCATTTGTCATTGTCATTAGTCTTTAATCCTGTTTATGTTTATATTTGTCTCTAGATTAATCAAAACCCACTCTTGTTTGCTTGAATTAAGAACTTGATCATATAGCTTAGTGTCTAACACCACATCTGGATTGATAAACCTCTTTGTGCTACATTGACAAGGGGATTGATAGCCCTGAGACCCTAAAAAGTCTTGTCTATCAATTGGCGCCGTTGCCGGGCGGACCCGAAGCCAAGGCCCAGGTATGTACACTCCCCTTCGGATCCCTAGTGAGCCTTGGACCGACATATCCATGGACTTTGTGTTAGGATTGCCACGCACTAGAAGAGGTAGAGATTCGGTCTTTGTGGTTGTAGATAGATTTTCTAAGATGGCTCATTTCATTCCATGCCATAAGACCGATGATGCATCAAATGTGGCTGACCTGTTCTTTAGGGAAATAGTCCGATTGCATGGGGTTCCTAGAACCATTGTTTCAGATCGAGACACCAAATTCCTTAGTTATTTTTGGAAAACCCTATGGTCAAAACTAGGAACTAAACTTTGTTTTTCAACTACTTGTCACCCTCAAACTGATGGACAAACTGAAGTAGTTAACCGAACCTTATCAGCTTTGTTACGATCTGTGATTAAAAAGAATCTTAGAACTTGGGAAGATTGCTTGCCACACGTTGAATTTGCTGATAATCATTCGGTTCATTCAACTACAATGTTTTCTCCTTTTCAACTTGTGTATGGGTTTAATCCGCTTACCCCACTTGATCTAACCCCTTTGCCTATGAGTGAAAGACTTAATCTAGATGGAAAGAAAAAGGCCGAACTGGTCAAACAGATGCACGAGAAAGCCAAGGAGAACATTCAAAGGAAAACCGAGCAGTTTCAAAGGAAAGCCAACAAAGGCAGAAGCAAAAGAACGTTCGAGCCCGGCGACCAAGTTTGGATTTATCTAAGGAAGGAAAGATTTCCTGAGGAACGGAAATCCAAGCTGTTACCCCGAGTCGATGGACCATTCACGGTCTTAAACCCTACCAGATCGACCTCCTAGGTAGGTATACGGTCAGTTCAAGCTTTAATGTTTCTGACTTAGTTCCCTTTCTTCCAGATGGACCAGACTTGAGGACAAGTCCTTTTCAAGAGGGGGGGAATGATACGAGCATGGACGAGGTGCGAGCTGAGGGTCAGGCCGGAGGACTAGGCGAGACTGGAAATCTCGACCAAATGGCCGAGCTAAGTGAGATGGAGGTTCAAGAAGGGAAGCTGGCCGAGGTGAACGACCCAATTCCGGATTTGACCGAGCTCACTGGTCCAATTACACGGTCCCGAGCTAAGAAGCTGTCCATGGTCATTTGGAGGTTATACACCGAGCTGATGGCCAAGTTCACGGATGCCACACTAAGCGACCGAGCTGTAACACTCTTAGCCTATTCAGACGGTGTGGCCCCTTGATACTCTTTTTCCTTGCATCCGGGTTTGTCCCATTGGGTTTACCGGATGGGGTTTTAATGAGGTTAAGGCCCACATCTTTTCCTTATCCGAATTGGTTAATAGTCGTTACAAGGAGTTGAAAGATCATTCGCGCAAAAGAAGTCAAACGGACATCCGAGGAAGCCGAGTGGTCCTTTATCGTATTCAATGTATCTATTTATTATTTCTGTCTTTTGCACTTCTTATAAGACTCTACATAAAGAGCCATAATCCGTTGTATTTTTCTCATTCACTTCTTTCAATAAAATTTCGAGATATTCTCTTGTTCTCTTTGAGTTTCCTTTCTTAGGTGGTTAGCCTTGAAAGTTTATTTTGGTTTATCGGATTTAGTCCATAGGATTCGACGCAGCCTTCCTTACATCTTGTTTTCGATTTCGTTCAAGTAGTTTAGGGGCAACAGGATTTTCGAGATCAAGTCTCACGCCTGTTCATCCTTGACCCGCGAGATCAACACTTGGTGTTGTCATTCCTTGATCAGTTTCTGTTTCTCGCGAGTTGGGCCTAAGGATTTTCGAGGCAACCCTTCACCCCTTAGCATCTCTCCGATCAAACCGATCTGGCCGAGTTTATCAACCCCTACCAAACGAGCAAGTGCAATTTCCTTGGGTGGATCGTATCAGTAGTACTTGCCACGTTCGTACAGCTGCCTCCATTGATGATCAGGCTGCAGACCTTACCCTTTGAAATAGGTTCTCGCGCTGATCAGACAGCACCGTGTATGAAATAGGTTCTCGCGCTGATCTTCTTCTTTTACAGGTTCCTGAGCTAGTAGGACTCTCCGGGCACGAGCAATTCACCTTCTGCAGCTCGTTCCTCATCCTCCTCATCGTCATAAATTGGTCCAGTATCCTCTCCATCGGACACGATTTTACCTGAGTCAAGAAGCAACATGGTTCGTTGGTTCGGACATTTATTAGCATAATGACCTTTACCTCGACACTTAAAACATTCAATGTCGCGGTGTCTAGCCGGTGTAGCCTCGGCTTTTCCTTTGAAGTAGTGTGCAAAGGAGCTGGGTTTGGAATCCGACCTTGGCTTAGCGTCGGATCGAGCTGGATAGCTCGGCTTATCTAGAGGTCGTGAACTGGAACCATATGCGGGTCGGTTGGTGCCTTTCCGTTTCAGCTGTTGTTCCACTATTACCGCCTTGTGGTACATCTCACCAATGTCCTGATAGTCCTGCAGCTCCATACGGTCTTGTATATCACAGTTTAGACCACTCAGGAACCGGGCCATCGTCGCATCCTCCGTTCTACCGTATCGGCTTTCAGCATTAGCCGATCCATCTCTTGGTAATACTCCTCAACATTCTTGGATCCCTGGGTCAAACGTCTGAGTCGAGTGTGTACTCCTGCTGATAGTGGCTCGGTACGAATCTGCGTCTCATCATTCGTGCCATCTCGTCCCACGTTTCGACCAGTCGGTCACCGTTCCTTCGACGGTTGGTAACAACTTGGTCCCACCAGTCTACCGCGTACCCATGGAACTCGGTGGCGGCCAGGTTGATCTTTTTTCTTTCTGAGAAGTTCTGACAACCAAACAAAATGTCGATCTTTTCTTCCCACTCAAGGAACCCGTCTGGATCGGTTGTACCATAGAAAGATGGGACCCTCAGCTTCATGCCTCCAAGGTCATTGTCGTTTCGGGCTTGGACTGGTTCAGGTTCGTATTGTCCCCGGCCTTGATCATTACGGTCTCGTCGAGCCTCGTCCCAGTTACGGCCGCGGGTTGGATCTGGGTTGTATCGCTCACGACCGTGGTTCGGCAAATGGTTTTGACCACGTCTATCTTCTCGGCCGAGTCTGGGTCGTACCTGACTACCATCCGAGGTATGACCGTCAGCGTAAAATGGATTGTCGGCGACAAACTCATTCCGGTTATGGATTGTCGGCGACAAACTCATTCCGGTTATGGATTGTCGGCGACAAACTCCTGGTCACTGCGATCAGTTCCTCTGTCCCGTCTGCGCTGATCCACTTCCAACTGTTCTATACGCTGGTTCATGTGACCCAGCAGCAGAATAATCTGGTCCAGCCTATGGTTCATAGTGGCTTTTCTCACTTCTCTTGACCGAATAGTGGATGGATCGTCGCTAGAAGACATATAATACCTCACAAAACGAACAAACAAGTTAGCAAAAATTCTCGCAAAGTGTTTCACTCGGTGTTTCACTCAACTCTCTTAAGGATCTCACAAACACTCAAGAGACTCTCCTCGGTTCTAAGGGAACTAAATCAAAAACTCGATGTAGATCTCTAAACCAATTCAGAATATCAAGCGATTATGAAGAAAAGAGAAGATAGATAGAAAAGAATTTTGGTTTCCACAGATCTCTTTTTTTTTTTACTTTTTTTTTTAAATAGATCTGGAATTACAAAAGAAAGAAAGGATATCAATTCATGCTGCTAAAAATAATAATGCAATGCACGTTACTCTTTAGTCTAGACTTCAAAAGCAGATTAATTCATTCCCATGACAATAATCCCTTTGCTAATCACTTAATCAAGTCTAACAACCATTAGATATAATCAAGCAATCAACAAGCATAATGCATCAAGCCTAATAAGTGACCAAACAATCTCTTAACCAAGAAGACTGAATCTTACACAGAAAGACATAGCAAGCAATCACATGATCTCAAACATTTCAACTTAGAACTCTAATCTAGACTAATCCTCTCATGAAGGCATTAATCTCTACACTAATCCACTTTCAAACCAAATTCCCATTTGTGAAATATGAACTAATGAGCATTAAGAAACAGTTCTAATATGTCATTTATGCAATTAACAAACATTCCCATGGCATTAATTCATAAACCCTTAGTTAGCTTTCATTCAGGCATTTCATCAAACACGTTGTGGGTGGAGATTTGCCTAAGCTCTAGACCAGAGTGATGTGCAAAGATCTAGCATTAGGAACAGCTAACTAAGGAAATGAAATGAGAATCTAGTCCCTAAACATCATAAATCAAACATCTAAGCACCCTAATCTACACATGATGCGATCCTCCCGAGGAATCGGCACTCTAAGGTGGTTTAGTGGATAATCCTTGACTTCAAACACTTTCACGGAGAAGATGCTAAGGCGTGAGAAGTGATTCCCGAAAATCCTTAGGCCCAAACTCGCAGTGAAAAAGAATGAAACAAGGGGGTGGAACAAAGAAAGAGAAAAACGCCGGTAAAAGGATGTTAAGGCGTGAGAAATGAATTCCCAAAAATCCCTAAGCCCTACTTACTACTAACAAAATTCCCAAACTCTGCAAACGAAGGCTGCGTCAAGTTCTATGGACTGAACTTGATAAACCGGGTTGATCAATGGATAACCTCCATAAGATCAAAAAAATGAGAATCACTCTCAAAAGGTTCCAAAAATAATGAATCAAATCTTATTTCTCCAAAAAGAGATTACGCTTATTTATAGGAATAGAAAACTTGTAAAGAAAGCTAATTATTAAATGATCTCGAAAATATAAGAAGACTAAAACTAAATGAAAGGAAATAAATAGAGTTGAAAAACTCTTGGCCTTCTTGACTCTTTATTCATGACTCTTCACTCCATTTTCGTCACCTCCTTTGACCAGAAAAATAAAGTGCTTATTTTGGGCTCTTCTTGGACTTCTATCATTCTTAAAATGGGCTGGACTCTATAAGTAAAATCTTGAATGGATTTCTTCATGCTTCTCTTGTCAAAATCTTCATAAATTTGCCCATTAAGTGCTTCTTTGAACTTCTTAGCGTTTAGCCCTTTTCATGATCATATCATCACACCTAGAAGCTTAAAATATGACTACTCAGTAATCATGACGAACACATCTAATCTTTTGCAAGAGATGATGTTAATCATGATTAGAAGCAGAAATGAGATGATGAGATGATAAGAAACAGCTTTGGAATGATCAAATCCCTCAGATATCTCTTAATCAAAACGTTTTTTTTTTACACTAAAAAAGAAAGAAAACTAGAGAGAAAACTAAGTAGAAGATAAGATGTTTAGGGTTTTCTCCAAAAAGCTATATATACTAAGTGCTAATGGACCGGGTCAGCCCATAACAGACTGGGTACTGACCCGGCTCAGTTGGGTCTGGTGGCTGGTGTGCGACATGGTCAGGTGCTTCCCAAGTCGCATGCCCAAGTCGCACAGCTATAGAAGCAGCCTTGTGCGCCATAAATCCCTCAGCCTCAGCCGCATGCCTATCTAGGTGTAAACAGCGAATGTTTGTGCTGCTCAGGCTTCCTTCTCTTCAACTCGCACAACCAAGACGCATTATGGAGATAATATGTGTGCGAGATGGTCACTTCCTTGCCCAAGTCGCATGCCCAAGTCGGTGTAATTTGCGAACACATGTGCTACATGGTTCCACTTCATGTCCAACTCGCAGGTCTATCTTGCATAGCATTGTGGACTTACTCAAATTTGATTCTGGAAGTCTCTGCCTTGCTCAGAGTCTCCTTACACTCATCTTTAAAGTCTCAACTTGTTTCCAAAGCGTTGAATATTCATGGGTGCGAGTTAATCAAGTCGCAGTACCGTATCGCACAACCTAAGCCTTCTAGACCACTTTGCATTTAGGGGAGAGTAACATCCAGGATATGGCTCCAAATGGCATGCTTTCAACTGCATTGGAAAGACAACTCAAATATCTCGAACTTTGGTGAAGAAACCCTCAGCGCTTGGGAAGTGGAAGGTTCCCCGGAGGGCTCATCTTTGCAGTACATTGACACGGTCAGAAAGAGGCTTCTAGACATGTGTGGAAACGTTATTTTCTTGCTCATGGCTTCAAATTGAATGATCTCAAACGTTCTGGAAAGAGGACTCAAATATCTAAAATCTTGATGACGGAATTGTAGACTGAATCGGTCTGGAAGTGCATCGTCCTTTGCAATCTTCGGAGCTCATCGGGTCGGTCCAAAACGGTAGCGAGACAGGCGTGCCTTCTGGTGAGCTTAACTCTCTACTCA